TCCATTCACCAAATTTCAGAAAATGTCTGTAATTGCACATGGTGAGATGTAAGCAATGTTATCCAGCATGTACATGTGAGAATACTAATTTATAATCCTAAACAAATTTGAGTTTATGAATACCAACTTCTAGGAATATTTAATAACTCACTTTGCAAATTCCAAGACAGTAGATCTTAGTTATATAAAGAATGAGACTGTGGGTTTCAGTAAAAATTGAAGAAGGCCCTTGAATTTTTGGATTAGTTCATAGCCCATCAGGGAATTACCAACCAGGCTGCTGGTTTTTAATGTGGCATTAAGATGCCCAGTGTCTCACCTTAGCCTGAATTTTACATGACTTTTTTTTTTGAGACGGTGTTTCACTCTTTGACCCCCAGGTTGGAGTGCAACGGCGCGATCTAGGCTCACTGCAACCTCTACTTCCTGGTTTCAACTGACTCTCCTGTCTCAGCCTCCCAAGTAGATAGGATTACAAGTGCCTGCCACCACAATTGGCTAATTTTTGTATTTTTAGTAGAGATGGGGTTTCACCATATTGGCCAGGCTGGTCTCGAAATCCTGACCTTGGGTGATCCGCCCGCCTCAGCCTCCCAAAGTGCTAGGTGTGAGCCACCAGGCCCGGCCTAATTCTACATGATTTAGGTCCACTTCTCAACACTCTCAGACTAAGTGTGCTCTGGCAGCAGAGATTCTCAGGAGAAATAATTTGACTCAGTGTGGGTCACATGACTACTTCTGACACCGTCAGTTATGGCATGGAATTAGTAACCTGGAACAAATCAGGCTGCTTAGGCCTTTCTCTTCAGGAGGGGCTATGAAGATACTTCCCCAAAGGCCTCATATTTGTTTATTGCAACACCAACAACATCTGAGCCATATCGATAATGTAAAAGCAATCTGTGGTCTTTTTTGACAATCTTTTTTGATGGTCTGAGAATTCAGGTATTTTGGAATACAGGTGAGGTGACAGTGTCTAGGGAAAATTCGAGTGTAGAGATAATTGTCCTCATTCACATCGTTTCTCTATTTCATAACTACATTTTTCATTTAAGCATACGATCAAGTTTTTCACACAGCATTACATTCACCAGCATCTCTAGTAGCAACTCTACCCTCTACATTTCCTCCCTTCCCATTGCACCAACTTCAAGAAAGGGTATGAGAGTCACCTCTCTCTTCCCCATTGCTTTTACCTCATCTTTTCTAAGGTCAACACTGCAGAAAGAGATAGGCTAAACAATGTCATTTAGAGACTCCTCTTTTCCCAGGGGGGAAGGAGATCTTGCATAAGTTTTCCCAAATCATCAGGATAACCTCCCATCAGCTGATCTAAAAATGTTAAGACTAAGAAGTTATATTGGTGAAAAAGTTATACTAATTTTTGTGAGATGCATCCATTATATTGCCAATTGTGTGTAATGATTATACCATGAAATGTGTCAGATAAACATAAGCTGTAATGTATCTGATTATGACACTTAACTCTGCTTACGTATGTGTATGTTCGGTCTTAGAGAAGCTCACTTAGCATGGCCATCAGCCTACAACTTTCAATGTCTTCCCATTGCACTCTGCATAAAATTCAACTTCTTGTCCTGACTAACAGCGCCACATTTGATCTAGCATAGTCTATCTCCTTACATTTGTATGCAAGGTCCTTAAAGATGTCTTGTTTGCCAATATAGCCCCTAGTCTGAGAACAAAGCCTAACACAATGCAGGTGGTCAGTAAATATTTGTTGAGTAAATGAATGGCTATCACATAAATTATTATTCTCCTGTTACTAACTACATCCAGAAGTAATAGAATTGAGTCAGCTTCAAAATAGTGTTCACTTATTCCTATAGAGATCAGAAGCAATCAACTTACTGCCAGTGCTTGCTCAACAGACTCAGAATGATGTACAATAGCTAATAAATATATAACAGGTTATGGATGGCAGCATTTTCCGAGTGTGTTTCTAAGGACACCAGTGCCACAAAATATTTCTTTAAAATAGAGTGTGAAGGTTACATCTTATGCATAACTGCCTACGCATTTCCATTTGGATGTCTAAGAGATATCTCAAATTTAACATGTCCAAACCGATTTGATTTCAGTAAACAGCAATACCTACACCCTCCCAGTAGCTCAGACCAAAAATCTCTTAAGTTTTGTTGACCACTTATTCTTACATCCTCATCTAATTCATTAGCAAATCTTGTTGGCTCTACCTTGAAAATGTGTCAAGAATCTCAGCACTTCACACATTTTCAGTATCACCACCCTGGTCCAAGTCGCTGTTTTCTTTTTCCTGGATTGTTATAGTTGCATTCTCATTGGCCTCCCTACTTTGGTCCCGGGCCCTCCCCACTTCAGTCTATTCTCAACACAGTAGCCAGACTGACCCTTTTCAAAGGGGTCAGATCATCTCACACACCTGCTGAAAATCCTCCGTGGTCTCCTATCTCACTCAGAATGAAAGTCAGTCTTTTTGATGGCTTGCATGGCCCTACCTGAACTGGACTCTGGTTATCTTTCTATAATCATTGCCTATTACTTTGCTCCAGATAACAGCATGCAAAGCAGGTTTCCACCTCAGGGCCTTTGCACTTGCTGTTCCTCCACTTGATTGAGAAGGCCTTTCTTGACTATCCTTCATAACATAAGAAATCAACTCCAGCCCCAGATCACTTTTCTCCAATGCCCTTCATTGCTTCATTTCCCTTTATAATATGTATCACTAACTGTCACATGTTTGCTGTATTTGCTGAGGGTCTGTGCCTGCTGCCTAGAATGTAAGCTCTATAAGGGCAGGAGCTTTGTTTTGTTTCATTAACTACCATGTTCCTAGTACAAAGCCACGTATCTGAGTGTGTGTGCAGAGGTGGGGGAGATATTTCAGAAACAGTATTCCTTGGAGTTTGGGAATGAAAAGAGAGTTGGAACTTGGAGCCTTCTGACCTTTAGTTCACAAAACAGAAATGCTTTAACAGGTAAAAGATGAAATGACTCAATATTTAAAATACTTGACTATATTCTAAATGAAACTGGCTATAACTTAATTTCCTAACAGCTTTAAAAGGTACTGTATCATGAGGTGAAAAAGAACAAGTTATCTTTCTGAGCCTGAGATTCATTTGTAAAATACTCAAGCAAGGCATTGCTGGGAGGAGTGAAAATGATCACTTACATTGTGTCTAAGATTGACACCTGATATCTTTCTTACAGGTATAAAATATTTTCATTTCAGCTTTTCTTTTAAAAGGAAAAATTGTGGTCTTTTTCTTACAACTGCAAAATTCTAGGGATTAAACAATTCTAGACTCCTCTTCAGTGCCCTATCTGATCCCTGTTCCACAACCACTATACTACTATTAGCATGGGATAAGCTCAGCTGGACCAGAATGGCAGAAAATGTCCTTAGAACTGGCAGGGATATTAGATGTTATCCTGACCTGTAATTTTCACTGAGGAATAAGAAAGAAATGTATCAGAATGAAGAGTGTTTGAAAAACACATTTAATATTACAATTTTATTTTTCAGAGGAGAAAAACCCTATAGATTTGGTAAAGGAAGAAAAACTCAATATCATTTTCTTGGTTGATAAGAGTGCACTAAAGATACAGAAACTCAACCAAGAGAATATCCCATTAGGGCGTTGTGACATTTTTGTGTTTATCAAAAGGAGGTAAAAGGTTTTTTAAAAGCCTTAGAAATTCTTAAACTAACCCACTAAAAATGTTTACAGTTTAAAAAATAAAACAAACAGAAAAAGAGTCTCAAAAAGTTAATAGACGTGTCCAACTCAGAAAACTGAGAAGTGGCTCAAAGGGGAATTAAAGACACATCCTTCCGAGTTCTAGTCCAGTTCTCCAACATGATACACTGGCTACGGTTAATTAAGATTTAATTGTATACCAGCTGCCAAAATGGTTAGCGTACAATAAAAATCCTTAATAGGAAACAAAGGTTTCATACTACTACTCGAGTTCTTCACTGACAAATTTCCGACCTTGCCTCTCACATCCATATCAAAGAAGGAAGATATATCTCTTCCGCATTTACTAAATGCTTCTTTGGCATACCATTAAGTCACTTAATACAACAATTCTGCCAGCTCAGTGGTACTGTACCCACTTTGCAGACGATAAACCGAGGCCACATGAAGTTAATCATAAAATTAGCGGCATTGAAACTTAACTCAGTGTAACCCGAAAGCTCCTTCTACACCAAGCTGCTCCCTGTAAGGAAACAGAACCCCTGAAACTTGTCTGCAGAGAATGATCTTGGCCATATTTAGTCTGCCTTGTAAACCGCAGGTACCAGGACTACGGTAATCAAATGAATCGCTATAAAGTCGGTGCAAGATTACTATTCAGCACATTTGATGAAGACCTGGTATCAACCGAAAACCAACTTCACAATTTCTTTGTAGTGTTTCTTCGACCCTAGCCACTGTCACTACCTAGAAAATCAGGGGACTTCGGGAGGCCGAGGCGGGCGGATCACGAGGTCAGGAGTTCACGACCAGAGTGGCCAACATGGTGAAACCCCATCTCTACCAAAAAATACAAAAATTAGCTAGGCACGGTGGCTCGTGCCTGTAATCCCAGCTACTTGGGAGGCTGAGGTAGGAGAACTGCTTGATCCGGGACCAGGGAGGAGGTTGCAGTGAGCCGAGATCGCGCCACTACACTCCAGCCTGGGCTACAGAGCGACACTCCATCTCAAATAAGAAAAAAAGAAAAGGAAATCGAGGACTGTTCTCTCAAGTGGTCAAAACGGGCCCCTCACTAGAGTTAGCTACTAGGTTAGCCGCTGTAAGGCCTATCAGACAATCCTGCAAATTTCTTGCAACATCCCGAAGGGGTCAAAGCCCACGCCCCAGCAAAAGCACTCCCCGCCCAGCGTCGAAGTACGCATGCGCCGTCCCGGCCTCTTCCAAAACTACCACCACCTGGTGGCGCCACTTTCCCCCATGCCGTTTCACCACTCAGCCCGCTCTTTTGAATACCTTTGTCCAATTCCATAAGGGCAGAGTTGGCATCCAGTTCCTGTTCGCCGTAGCCGGCATCTGCCAGGAAAGACTTAGTTGAGTTTGATGCCATGACCCGAACAGTTACTCGACTAGCCTAGTCAGAAAGATTGCAAATTCAGCCCCAGGACCGCCATCTTCTCCCGCCGCCTTCTTGCTGGTTTTTTCTCCGCGCGCTGTCAAGCCCTGTTACGCATGCGCCCTGGTCACCCCGCGGTTCGCCGGCGCCTCTCCTGCCCCCTGCGCAGGCGCTCACGGAGCTCCTGGACTCCCGGTTCCCGCGGCTGGGAGAAAAGGAGGCGGGGATCGGAAGGGGGAAGTGACTCTAAGGCGCCCCGACGCCGCTCGGAAGCCAATCAAAGAGCGTGACGTCAGTTTGGCGCGGAGTTTGGCGGCCGGGGCTTCTTACAGTGGCGGGAGTTGGAGGCGATAACGAGTCGTGTTTTGAGAGGCGAAAGCTACGATTTCTGCTGGACTTGGAGGCATTTCTGCGACTTTTCTCTCACCCGAGCCTTTTCCTCCGGCCCTGATGCTCTTCAATTCGGTGCTCCGCCAACCCCAGCTTGGCGTCCTGAGAAATGGTGAGTTAACGGTCCCAACCGCTGCTAGCGGCTGGCGGAATTCGTCTCCCACACGCCACCTCCTACCAGGGCCGACTCCAACTCAGCTTCTGAGTTCTCTCATGGCAAGGGTAAATTAATGTTAACGGGGGCTACTGAGGAAAGCTGTGCACTTTTAATCATAATCGAGGTTTTAAAATCGAAACGTAGGTAGGGACGTTGAAATAACTGCCTTCCAAGGCCCTTTGCAGCTGATACCTACATTGAGCGTTAACTGGAAAATGCATGCATTTGTGTGTATATGTTTCTTTCTACAATTATTTGAGATGGTCAAAACTGTTACTTATTGATTAATTCATTTGTTTGTTGTAGAACCTTAGTGACCCCAGCTATTTGCTATGGATACGTATCAGTGAATATGACCCGCTCTTAAGAAACTTAGTCAAGTAGAGGATATCTGCTTCTAATAAGATCAAAATCTTTTTTTCCACGTTTACTACATGGTCATAAACATTTAAATTATAGCGTGAAAGATGCCTGTAACCACATCCCCTAGAGATGACCCCTGTTAATAGATTGAAGTAAACGTCGTATCTATTATTTTCAGAAATAGAATCAAAATGTCATGTTTTTCATTTTAATGGTGTAAGTTGAACATATTCTCGTGTTTGTATGTAGAAATCTAACCTATTTTCTACAGTTCGTTAGGTTCTTACACTAAAGCATTGGCAATAAGAGATTTGAGGTCAGGTTTGGGTGTCATCAGCCTAAACTTTTTGATAAGCTTCTGGTAAGAGATTTAACTACCCAGACTAACCTTGGACAGAAGTAAAATCTCACTCATGTAAAGGTCGACTATACCCAGAGGTTCTTTTTGCCCTTGAAACCATGTAAAACGAATCCGAGAAGGCAATTTTTATATTCAGGGATGTCTAGGAAAATGATATTGAGAAGGAGACTGAGAAGTAGTCCCTCAACTTCCTGCTACCAATGTAAAACTTTATACCATCCTTATTTCCTTCTTAGATAATCTTTGTAATTATACTGTAAATGCTCCTCTTTCTGTTTCTCCTGGGACCTTGTTTGAGTAACTTCTCTGTCCTCTTTTTAAGAGTGACAGTACGCAGTGGTTAAGAGCTCTGTCTTTGGAGTTAAACTGCCTGGATTTTATTATACCTCCACACTTTACTACATGTGTGTCCTACGGGAACTGTTCATCCTCTATTTTGTGACAGATTTTCTCCTAATTCTCCATGTGTTTACCTTTCTCTTCTCTCTTTCCATACTGAAATTCATTCATTATAATATGTTGCCAACTGAAACTATACAATCATCTCCTTTCCTCTTCAGTGTTGGCGTTTCATCCTTGGCCTCTTTTCTTCTACCTACTCGTATGGATGGTCATAGCCATAACCAGGGCTTCTTCCACTTCTGCGTACAACGTTCTATTTCTTATACAGTAAGTCCTCACTTAATACCTAGATAGGCTCTTGGAAACTGTGACTTTAAGGAAAACAATGTATAACTAAACCAACTATACCATAGGCTACTTGATAAAAACAAGAATTAAGTTTCAGTGGCATAATATAGGTCACACAAACACCACCAAACTCCTAAAGACCCAAAACACTTCTAATATTAAATATTGAAATAATTGTGTTATACATACATTTGAGAAAGATTAATAAAAACAATTGAGATAATTATTTACCCAAGTTTTGGTGCATCAGTGAAAGACCTCGGTCATAATGGTGGTAGGTTAAATCAAGGAATAAATATTTGAAAAGTGAAAATTGAAAGGAGTACCTCCTACCACCACCCAGTTCAAAAACAGTCACAAATATGGCAGCTCACTGAGCCCTGTCATACCAAATTGTTTATTATCCTTCATTCCTATCATTCATTCATACTATCATTCATTACTATGATTATCGTAGAGTTTACAAACTTTTACTTTACAATTATTTGTATTCATTCATTTTCTGACACACTTAATTGCACTTCAGGCCTGTGGTGCCTAAAGCCTATCCTGGCAGCTCATGGTGCAAGGTGGAAACCAGCTCTGGACCAGCCACTATTTCATCACAAGAAGCCCTCACAAACATCCATGTCTACTGGGACCATGTAGACATGCCATTGAACCTAATATACACATCTTTGTCATGTGGGAGGAAACCAGAGTACCTGGAGAAAACCACTGTGAACATGGGGGGAACATGTGCAAACTCCATATAGCCAGTGGCCTCAAACAGGAATTGATATTTTTCTCATGAACAGTATGAGGAAATGATATTGTACAAAATGATGTTATTGGAAGACTTCCTGTGCTTGAGATTCATTTCTATAAAGTCTGAGAGGGTTGATTTTCACCCAGATGGTCAGTCCCACAAGCATCTCAAACTCAAATGCCCAAAACTTAACTCACTTTTTCCCTAAACCTGGTATATTGCCATTTTAGGGAGTGGCTTCATTATTTGAACCAGTTTTCCCCGCCGAAAACCTGAGTCAATTAAAAACTTCTTCATCTTAATAGATACACATTGAGAACATGTCCTTAAAATCCCTGGAGTCCATCCTCTCCTATTTGTTCTGATTCTGCATCTTTACTGTGTCTTGGATGTGTTCTATTTTTACTATTCCATTCTCCTAGGTTAGGCCCTAATACCTTGTCTGGTTTGTAAGAAGTCTCCCAAATGGCCTCTTAGTTTCTCTTCAGTTTATTCTCCATATTGCTGCTAATGATTCTTCTAAAATGGAAATCTGATTACTCTTCTGTGTATTTTTAAATTGATATCTAAAAACTTTTATCATAAATTTTAAAAAATGCAAAGAATGTAATTTCCGACCATACTGGGAATGTTGACATTTTAAAATAAAAATGTATCACTCTTCTAAGTGTATCTAATATAATGTAAATACTATAGTGATTTGATAATCACATCATCTGTTTGTTAGAAAAATAAATCTCCTCTTTAACTGCTAGACATTCCAGGTAGCTGCCTTTTCCTCTTGAATTTATTTCCATTTCATTTCTCCCACAGAATTTCTCCTAATGTAATTTAATTTTATGCTTGAAAAGCTGTTCTTCTAATCACTCTATCATACCCCTCTGTGTCAAAAAATGTATTTAAATTGCTGTTTCCTGCCATCATAAGCCTCCAAGTGTTAAAACTTCTTTATGGATTGAATTTTCAATATAATTATTAGTACTATATGATTGATTGAAACAATATAGATTATGAATTTTGATTATTATTAACCAAAAGTAAAACTTCATTGGAAGTACATCTTTTACAGAGATGAATTTGGGTGTTTATGGTTCCTTTATTGAAGGAATTATTATCGCTTAGTTAAGGTTCCAGAAGTTTATTTAAAACATTATTTAATATATTGTTTAGATAAAATATTTTTAATTAAAAATATTTGGGCACTGAAAAGTTTTTATACTTTGGATCAATGCAAGGTTTTTAAGATTGGGGCATGGGAATGTCTTTCTTTTGTAAAGTGGAAGAAAGGAAGTAATGAAGGGGAAGGAAAAAAGTGATTCCTCAATCTCCTCAAAGACATCAGGTTTTCAGACAGGTGAGTTTTGGAAATGTGTATGTAGTCATCCAATTGCTTATAAACGGAGATACGTTCTGAGAAATGCTTCATTAGGTGATTTTATCATTGTACAAACATCACAGAGTGTACTTAACACAAAGCCGGATAATGTAACCTACTGTATACCTAAGCTATATAGTCTATTTTTCTTAGGCTATAAACGTGTACAGCATAATATTGTATCAAGTGCTGTAGGCAACTGTAACACAATGGTATTTGTGTATCTAAACATAGAAAAGGTGCAGTAAAGATATGATATAAAAGATAAAAGAATGGTACACCTGTGGAGGGTGCTTACTATGAATGGTGAATGGGAGCTCGCAGGACTGGAGGTTGCTCTGGGTCAATCAATGAGTGAGTGGTCAGTCAACGTGAAGACCTGGGATGTTATACTACTGTAGACATTATAAACAATCTACACTTAGGCTGCATTAAATTGATTAAAAATAGTTTCTTCAATAATAAATTAACCTTAGCTTACTATAACTTTTAAATTTACAAACATTTTAAATTTTTAAACTTTTTGGCCCTTGTGGTAACAGGTAGCATAAAGCACAGACATGTTGTATAATTGTACAAAATACTTTATTTCTTTATTTTCTTACTCTATAAAGCTTTTTTATTTTTAGTTTTTTTCGTTTTTCTTAATTTTTTGAACCTTTTGTTAAAAGCTAAGACACAGTAGGAATTTTTAAGCTCCATTACAATCTTGTAAGACTACTATTGTGTATGTGGTCTGTCTTTGGCCAAAATGCCATCACATGGTATATGACTGTATATTGAAGTTGAGTGCAGTCGTACCTCCGTTGAAGGATATGTTCCAAGACCCAACCCTACGTGTGTTGTGTTTTTTGCTGTACAGACATTTACCTATGATTAAGTTTAATTAGGCACAGTAAGTGATTAACAATAACTAAGAATAAAGTAGAACAATTTTAACAATATTCTATAATAAAAGTTATGTGAAGGTGGCCTCTTGGAATATCTCATTGTACTGTACTTACCCTTGTGATGATGTGAAATGGCATAATACC